AAGACGCACACACATTTCCCCTTACTTTTTAGGAGGGAAAAAGTTAGTCTTACAGAGCAAAAAATATGGTATGTAAGGTAGCTAAAAGTCTGCCTTCACTTACACTCACAATCATGAGGAAACCACTTCCTGTGCTGCTGCAGTAAATAAGTGAATACTGAAACCATGTGGGCTGATCTTATAGGGTTGTATTCAAAGTAGAGCTAAGGAAATGATACATTAGCACAAGCATTTCTGCTTCCCCGATGGAACAATCTCCCCTCTCCTCCTCCACATGCTGTTTTGAGGGTTCACCCAGCCCTCCAGGTTAGATTAGGGAGAATGTAGGAGGCATGAAGGGAGAAAAGAAAAAAGTTAATTTGTGCAAGGAGGAATCATTAAGTTGCTACTGCTACCGCAACAAGCTGGTTGAATGCAGTCCATAGGTCTTTCCTACCTGGGCATTGCCTTCTCTTCTGACTGAGCAGTAATAATATTTGTGAACATTGTATATCACCATGCTAGTTGCCATTGCAACACAAAATATGCAGTAATGTAGTGTGGCAAACTTGGCAGCATTCACAATAAAGCTTGCTGTAATCAGCTATCATTGCGAGAAGAAGGCAGTTTCTTTCCTGCCAGTGCTTCTGGATTGAAGGGTGGTGATTCATTGGTGTCTTTGGCAATGGAGAATACACAGGGCATGCTTCGTTACTTTAGAGAAATGGGCACCTATTTGCCCCAAACAAATTCTCCACCCACAGACTGCTTGCAAGCCATCTACCATCCACCATGATCCTTATGCATTTGGTGTGAGAACAGGAGTTTGTGTTAAGTACGCTGATGTTGGGCACTGTAGATCTCATGTCACCATCTATTTATGAAAAAAATATTTATATCCCACCCTCAGGATATTACATCTCACCCTCAGGGGGGTGTTAGCAAGGGAGGCTAACAAATACACAATTATAAGGCTTGAAATAGACAGAAGAGAAAATACCTAAAACACAAAATAATAAAGCAACTCAAACCCATGGCAGACTAAAATAAAAAGAAGAAGAAAAAGAACTGTTTCCAGCACTTCACTCAGAATTCCCCTCGTGCAATGGGACTTCCCTTTTCGCTGCTCTTTCTGTACACCCTCAAAATCTGCTGTGGATGCTCCCCCAATCCTCTGCAACAGATTTTGAGGGTGTGTGAGGGGATCACAGGGGACAGAAAAGGAGGAGAAAGTTCTGTTATGCAAGCCAAAATCTTCCATGTTAGTGGAAGGGGCAGTGATGGAAATAACCTTTAAGGAGGCCTTTAACCCTTTGCATACATACTGTGCTATTTGTAAAACAAAAACCCCATTTCATGACTAACGTGATGTATAGTTTGGCATTCAGGGGTGCTCAGGAAACAGAAATGATCCAAGTACTCCATGTCTGAGATTCTCATGTGTCAAACGAAAATAGATGTTCTTCTTCCACACACTGCACTAGCTGCTGTGTGCAAAGAGAATTGCCTCCAAGATTGCAGGGCACACAGACATTATGATAATGGAGAGACAGCATAAGTACCGCAGGAAGCTAATCGACACTTTCACTTATTTTCTATTATGGCAAAGCCCTCCTGTTCTGAATGGCAATAAGAGAGGAGATTTATGGCAGATTAACTTCGATTAAGGACAGATTAGCTTAGGTAAATTGTCTAAATACTTAAATCTTTACTGGTCGTCTCTTAGTAAATTTTTATATGTCCTTATTTGCAAACGTCTCCCTTCCCTTCTTCTCTCCTCTGTCTTCCCATTGGATTTATTTCTTTGCTAAGATTTCAAAGAGAAATCACCCCGAGGTATTGCTTTAACAATTTTTTAAAATTTATTTTAAAATTGCTTGACTAAATTGTATAACATTTATTTATGGCCCTTGTTTTCAAATACTCCTGCATAGCCATAAATGAGTACAAATGAAGCATGACAAGCAATTTGCTGCCTGGTAGCTGATATTAATGATGTGACATATTGCACCTGGGTGTATGTGTGTGTTCATGTTTTTCTACGTGAGGGAAAGTGGCTCCTATCAATTATGCTGCTTTTGATCAGTTTGTTTCTTAAAAGTGACTTAAAGCCTGTAAGGATACATGAGACACCAGCAGTTAGGCCTGTGTGTTCAGTTTAACAACAAAAAGACATATGAAGAAGAAGAAGAAGAAGAGAAGAGTTTGGATTTGATATCCCGCCTTTCACTCCCCTTCAGGAGTCTCAAAGCGGCTAACATTCTCCTTTCCCTTCCTCCCCCACAACAAACACTCTGTGAGGTGAGTGGGGCTAAGAGACTTCAAAGAAGTGTAACTGGCCCAAGGTCACCCAGCAGCTGCATGTGGAGGAGCGGAGACGCGAACCCGGTTCCCCAGATTACAAGTCTATCGCTCTTAACCACTACACCACACTGGCTATGAAGAGCCTGCTGGATCAGGCCAGTGGCCCATCTAATTCAGCGTCCTGCTCTCACAGTGGCCAACCTGATGCCTGTGGAAAACTCACAAGCAGGGATCAAACACAAGAGCTCTCTTCCCTCCTGGTATTCAGCTGGTATTCAGAAGCATTTCTACCTCCAACTGTGGTGTCAGAGCATAGTCATCATGGCTACTAGTCATCAATAACCTTCTCATCTATGAATTTGTCTAATCCTCTTTTAAAGCCATCTAGTGTCAGAATTCCTCTCAGAAGTCCCGCTTTTCCGTAGAGAAAAGAGAGAAGTTCTCTCAGAACTTCTCTCTCAGAAGTGAGAGCTAGACCATAAAGAAGGCTGATCGCCGAAGAATTGATGCTTTTGAATTATGGTGTTGGAGGAGACTCTTGAGAGACCCATGGACTGCAAGAAGATCAAACTTATCCATTCTTCAGGAAATCAGTCCTGAGTGCTCACTGGAAGGACAGATCGTGAAGCTAAGGCTCCAATACTTTGGCCACCTCATGAGAAGAGAAGACTCCCTGCAAAAGACCCTGATGTTGGGGAAGATGGAGGGCACAAGGAGATGGGGACGACAGAGGACAAGATGGTTGGACAGTGTTCTCAAAGCTACCAGCATGAGTTTGGCCAGGCTGCGGGAGGCAGTGGAAGACAGAAGTGCCTGGCGTGCTCTGGTCCATGGGGTCACGAAGAGTCGGACACCACTAAATGACTAAACAACAACAAAAGTGTCAGGAGCAGGGCAGCAATAAATCACATGGCGTCAACAAAGTTAACTCTTTATTCAAGTTTGGCTCAGGAGGCCAGGCCTAGCGAGCACAGCAACTCGTCCCAGTAGATCTTGCCCCACGAGGCAGTTGTGGGGACTGATGGTTCCCACTTTCCCACAGTTGCCTAAGCCTCCTCCTCCCCCAGGTTCTTCCCAAGCAACCTGAGTCTCCATTGCCATGCCTGTCTTTGCTCCTCCCTCTTCATACATTTTCTGGTTCTGGGAAACTAGGGAGAAGGGAAGCTGGTCACAGCTGGCGAGGGAGACACCTTGGCTTTTGCATCAGCCTGACTCAGCTCTGCCTCTTGCCTCCCCTCCCCCAACTACTCTCCAGAACTGGCCTCCACAGTCACTTACGGACTCATTGTTAAAACCATGTTTATGGAAGACAATCTTACTCGGCTACGAGTGATCGCCAAAGAAGAAGAAGAAGAAGAAGACACAGTCAAGGGAGAGGACAAAGGAAGACACAATCATGATGTGGTCAATGCCATGTGTTCATCAGTAAGGTTCCCCTGGCCAGAAGAATATATCTATTATTATTATTATTATTATTATTAATAATAATAATAATAATAATAATTTATTTATTTTGCACCAGCTGAACATTTTGGACAGTATCTGAAAACCCCCATATATAATTAATTCCATGCTTTTGATGTTAGGAAGACAAATTTTGCTAGATCTAATTCAAAAAGAGTTGCAGCCTTCTCACCAGGAAATGGTGAGAAAACTGCCTTGTCAACCACTTCCTGAAGATCCAGGCTCAGTAACAGAAATCAGAACAGACTAGAAGAGAAGCTATTTAGATATTCTCCCAGTCACATGGGATTTGGTAACACAGATAAGCAGCTGCCAGTGAGAAAACCTTCAAAAGGACACCTGGCATTTGTTACCATACAGAGAAAAGGGAACATCTATGTCGTGCATTAGACTTCTGCATACATATCTATCTGCTAATGTAACACCTGTGACTTTTCTGCAAAATGTAACCGTAGAGCTAATGCCATTGCCAGATAACCAGCCACTGTGAATGTTCTTGAAGGGGAACATATATATTTAAGCAGCAATTCTCCCTAAGAAGTTACGTTTCCAGGTTTGCTCTCAGAAATCAGAGGTCAATCCAATAGCCCGTGTATCACTAAGCACATTTTAATCTCCAGCTAAAGACAAGTGCTATCTCACTGGGAAATGGCATGTTAAAGGGTAGAATAAATAACTAAGTGCCTTAAAAACGCACACCATCTATTTGGGTTAAGAAACTATATCCTAGCAGAACAAGTGATGCAAACCCAGAAAGAATATGCTGATGGGGTTGCCAGGTGATTATTTTTTAGACTGGCCTGCTGGTGTTTTGAAATTTGAAGCCAGTTGCCAGACAATGGGAAAGGGAAGATAGGGTCTTTCCATAGTTTGCCCCCCCCGCCAAATATATTCTTTTTTCCTATTCCCATTTGTAAAAAGTTATTGTGCAAGTACAATGTGATCAAAGGAGAAACATTTCAGCTACTGCTCAGATGCAACTCTGAACAATTCAAAACTGCCTACTTTTATTACTTGATGGTCAATCCACTTCCTTGCTGCTTGGGAATTCCATTCTTCCTCCCAGCCTAGCCTGGCTGATTGAGCTTAGCATTTTCACCCCACCTGCAGTTAGTGCTCATCTCCCATCTGCAGTTAACCCTGTCATCTCTCATCTCATCAAGACAAGGCTTCTTTTGTTACCTTCTTTCCTTCCCTTATAGCATCTTGTCTGCATTCCCACCAACTCTTTTGGACCTAATCTTGGCAGCTCCATAGCACTCAGTTCCTGCAGCTAATTGACAGTTGTCTGGAGTAGTGAAATGAACACTATTCCATGTCTTTGCCCTTCAGTTTAGGCTATGGTTACCAGACGTCCCCGTTTCCCAGATTTACAAATCTGTCCCCAGACAAAATCCGTCCCCGGATTTCATTTAATGTCTCCGGATTTATATTTTAAATTTTGTAGATTTATTAGTAGGGAATGAATGTTGTGTGATTGGTTCAACGGCACAAGACACATCATATGGGGAGTTCCGGCGATGCAAAATGGCAGGTGCCATGGCAGCGAGCAGCTCCTGAAGCCAGCCAGAGCCAACTGCACTACCAGGCTGGCTCCAGGCTGCTGAGACTGCTGCTGCCACTGCTGAGGTGGAACCAGGGACGCCCAGTGCATCAACTGGGGGAACTGCTGACCCCCTCCTGCAACCCATATCGAGCCGGGAGCAAGAGTGCCTGGCCACCCAGCCAACTGCCCAGCGGTGCTCCAGGGTAAAAACCCTGGAGCTGACACAGTGAGAAGGAGGAGAGGAGAAGGAGAAGGAAGAGAGAGAAAGAGGAATGAGAAAAAAGAGGGGAGCCCTGACCTTGCTGTGCTGCTGCCGCCGTTGCCACTAAGGAGGAGATGTAGGAGAGCACCAGGAGGGCAAGGACACGTGGCCAAGCCCAGGACCCACCCAAGCCTACTCCATGGCAGCTAGCCCTCCAAGAGAGCAGGCCGGGGCCCAGAGGAAGGCCGTGTGACAGAGGAGACCCCAGAAGAGATGATATTACTTCTTTATTTATTTATTTTAATATTTTTTAAAAAATAATAATTTCTGGGGAGGGGGGCTGGCAGATTCTTTGAAAAAAATCTGCTAACCTTAGTTTAGGGTCTTGTGCTGATTCTCTCGCATGTCAGGTGTGCACACATCCTACCCATCCACCCCAACTAAAACAATACATGCTGCAACTTATCAAAACAGAGACTTGTTCACACAAGTGCCCAAGTTGCAAAAAAGATGGTCTGGCTGGCAAAGTTTCTGAACTGGTGTTTTGGCTCTGTAACTCTGCAACACTCTTGCTTATGACTGTCTGACTACATCCGCCTGATGGTTCAACACTAAACCTCGCTTCTTGCATCAATCCGTACCAATAACAGCCAAACTCTGAAGCAGGGATTCACGTCCCTCACAAAGCATTTGAAAGTAGAAGACAGAACTAGATGGAGCTTCAGTCTGATGCAGCAGAAGTTATGTTCTAAGGCTGACTCTTCCAGTATACAAATTTGTTTATTTGTTTATCATTCATGCATTCATTTATGTACTGTTTTTCAAAAATAAAATCCTTCCCAAGGTGCCATGCTCATTTCATAAATTTCTATAATGAATATTGCAATTATCACGGAGACACCTAATTTGCAGCATAAGTAAAAAACATGCACACCATCTCTCTTTGTTGTTATTGTTGATGTTGTTTTTTATGGAACAAAATATAAACGGTGAACATATTGTTGTGTAAATAAACATTTATTTATTAAAGACATTTATTAAATAAGCATACCATCTTGGGAAGAATTTAATTCTTGAAAGGCAGTGCAGAAATAAATAGATCAATACACACACACACCAATTTTAAGCACTGACTTAATAGCTACTGCACATGTCTTTCTCCCACATCATTCTTTCCTAGATTACCAAAAGGGAAAGGTGAGTCCTACTGATTTACCTAACTTAGTCCAGACTACAGATATAACAGAATTCCACTGGAAACAGAAATGGTAGCGGAAATTCCTTTTCCAGGATGAAAATCAATCCAGCGAATACTAATGGTAATTGATGTTGCACTTCCTTTTGGTTTACAAACAATATGAAATTGAATGGGGTGGAATTATGTAATGTCAATGTAATTTGCGTATCATAATTACTTAATAATGTATGTAAATTATGTGATGTTAAGTTCACCACATCAGACATTGAGGTGAGTCATGTAGTTTGGGGCAGAAGATGAACTGCAGTGGAATGGAAACCATGCAGCTTACAAAAAAATGCAGGGTGGAATAGAAACTCTTGTATCCCATGTCTCACCAGAATCCTCTGTCTCAACTGCCCATATTTCAGTCACCTCACATCTTTCACAGCTAAGTGTAGCTGCACTTCCAGTTTCTGCCACCGACATAAAAGCATCATGTAGCTAAGTATAATTGTGCATTTGGGATTCATTTAATGAGCCCCATAAAATTCATCCTTTTGTAGAAAATAAACAAGGCGCAAATAATTATAGTATCTACAGGAGGCATTTCTCCTTATATTGAATTACACGGAAGATGGTGATGAGTAGATAGTTATAAGGCAGTAAACATAACTTGCTGTTAAAAAATAACAATAGTCTAACGTGTGCAGTAGGCTGAGCCAAAGGTGATTAGACATTGACATTTTACTCATCTCCCCAAATGTCTTCGCTCTTCACTTTAACAGTTTTAAAGGGCAGTTTGGAGCAGTTTCCTTTCTGGTCATAAAGACAATTAGGTGTTTCCTTTATGCACTTACTTTCAAAGAAATCTTTATATCTCCTGACCTCTGACATTCACTTGGAAGATTATTATTATGATTATTATTGAAATGAAAATCTTGGGGGATATGCTAGTGGAATCTCCTGAAGCAGTAATTTTCACAAATAGTTTTCTGCTTGCTGGCATTAATGAAAAAGCAGGAGGGAAAATAATGCTTGTTGAAAAGTAAAAACAGATACCAGATCTAATGTGGGACTTTATTTGCATCTCATCCTAGGAAAGAGCTGGGATGTTATCTAACTTAGATTTGGCAGAAACAGCAAAAAATGCTGCTGTTTTGTTGGATAATAGCTTGAGAAGAGACCAGATCCAGGAGCAGTCTCAGTGTTTAGTCATCCAGCAACTGTTAGCACACATGTTGACTGTAGATTTGGAGTAGAGATTCCATGTTGCTGCACCCACGAGAGGCAGAGCAACCCAAAACCCTGATTCACCATCCTGGAGGGCATTTGGATGGCCATAGTAGTGTCCCTCTTCCCAGTTCTGCCCAACATGGCTTGCCTCTGCTGACGGAGCTCTACCATCTGGAGAAAAGTCCAACTGGCAAGAATATTACCAATGGACCCAACCAAATGGATAGTGGGGAGAAATAACCAATGGGGCATTTTGAAGGTGGAGAGCTGGGGAGGCTGGTCCAACTCTTGAGGAAACAATAGTTGGCAAAAGTAGACATAGGGCATTGCTGGGAAGGGGCACTGCTTGTGCTTCAATACAATTTCATTCAAGAAGAATAAATGAATGAGTGCTCTCCATCCAGTGGATCTTAGGGATTCATCGGTTGAAGGCTGGTGTGTGAGTGGTTTTGATGGGCAAAACTGCTTGGTTATTATGGTTAGTCCTACCATTAAGTAGAGTGAGGTAGGCACATGAGTCAGTTGATATGGGGTGCCATGGAAAGGCAGCAAACTGTTTATAATTTAATAAGTTGAAAACATTGCCATTGAAGTTAGAACTCTTGGAGCATGCTGTCCATCAGATTATAGGAGACTGGTGTCTAGCAAAGTTGGGGAGGAAACTGTTTTGCATGCTCCAAACCAGCAGTGTGGTTAGTGAAAAGACACATGGAAACTTGGGGTGGTATTCAATTAAGTTTTACTCACGATAGATCCATTGAACTTAGTGGACATGACTGAGTTAGTGCAATTAATTTCAATAGGTCTACTTTGAGCAAAACCCTAGTTCTATTTTGAAAATGCTTCTGCCCTAGCTGGTACCCAGAGTTCTGGGGCAGGCAGATATTTGCTGGGGTGGCATTTGGTGAAATCCCTCCATTTGCATTGCAATAAGAAGCTGAACTTGACAGCCTTTTGATCTTTTCCATCTTTATGATTCTGCCATATATATCCTCAGATCATTTTCCATATCCTATTAATGGTCTGGATATGCAATCAATGTTTGATGAAAGACTAAGTCAGTTATCCTCCACTTTCTTGCTCCCATGTTACATTACATATTAAAGATCAATATGGTCTATTGACTGAGAAATAAGGAGTCAGTGACATTTCATATCTTTTTGAATCTAATATTCATGCTGCTGCTTCAAATCATGACAGGCATATACTTTCATTTGGTTGTACTGGAAACATTTTACATTCCAAGTCTTTTTTTTTTTTTTTGTCATGTCCAGTCAATGGTTTTTCACTTGATTCTTTCAATTAGCTGACTTCTTTGTGGAAAGGTGCCAGAAAAAACAATTTGCCTGGATCTAAATTGCATTCCTCAGACTGCCCTCGCTTGAGATTGATTGCTAGTATTTGTATTCCACTTTTCATCCCAAAGCGGCTGACAAACAATAAATAGCAATAACAAAACAGAGCATAATAGAATATCACAAGTGCAGCATAAGTCATATAAATCACCAGTAAGACAAATATTACCTATACAACACCACTGGGCAAAAGCGACAACAATTTGACATGGATGACAATGACTTTAGAGCCTGGTTATACAATTGGCAGCATCACGCCTTTCACCGGGCTGTACCACTTCAGGATAGGGAAGTCAGAACTAGCATCTTAGGAAGAAGGGAGGAGGGAGAACCTGACTGATAAGGTTGGTAAAAGGTAAAGGACCCCTGACACTTAAGTCCAGTCGCAAACGACTCTGGGGTTGCAGCGCTCATCTCACTTTACTGGCCGAGGGAGCCGATGTTTGTCCGCAGACAGTTTTTCTGGGTCATATGGCAAGCATGACTAAGCCGCTTCTGGCGGAACCAGAGCAGTGCATGGAAACACCATTTACCTTCCCGCCGGAGCGGTACCTATTTATCTACTTGCACTTTGACATGCTTTCGAACTGCTAGGTTGGCAGGAGCTGGGACCGAGCAACGGGAGCTCACCCCGTCGCGGGGATTCAAACCGCCGACCTTCTGATCAGCAAGTCTTAGGCTCAGTGGTCTAGACCACAGCGCCACCTGTGTCCTGGTACCTCATGTTGGTACCAGGTTGGTACCTTGTGTGAAATGATTTGGGAGACTTTGACTGTGCTAGAGAAGAAACAAGAAGGGAGGGCAAAAGGTTTAAGAGGCTACCTTATGCGGTGGCAATGTAAAATTATCAAAAATGCCTAGGAAAAGACATACAGTGGTACCTCGGGTTACATACACTTCAGGTTACATACACTTCAGGTTACAGACTCCGCTAACCCAGAAATAGTACCTCGGATTAAGAACTTTGCTGCAGGAAGAGAACAGAAATCATGCTCCAGTGGCGCGGCGGCAGCAGGAGACCCCATTAGCTAAAGTGGTGCTTCAGGTTAAGAACAGTTTCAGGTAAAGAATGGACCTCCGGAACGAACTAAGTATTTAACCCGAAGTACCACTATATAAAGATTTGAAGAAAATGTGGGAAATGATTGTTGTTGAAAAAAATTGAAGTTATGATACTGAGATGTACAGTACTTGATGGATTTTCTGAGCGAAAGACTTTGTTCTGATATGTGAGACTGGATGCCAGGCCAAGACCAGCCAGCCCCTATGGAAGGAAGAAGCCCTGGCCAAAGAAGAAAAAGAAGAAGATTGGCAAAATAAATTACTGAACTGTGCAGGAGAAATTATTACAAAAAAGGGCAACTGTTTAATGCATATTTTTTAAGCTTTGTGTATAGATTTTTACATTAGTATAACTTTTAAAAGTCACTAGTAATAAGATGGAGAAGGTTTTAAAATTGGATTGTTAAGTATTTTATGGATGTGCATGAGCAAGTATATTATAATGGAACCAAGAGGGGTAGTGGGGGGAAGTCGACCAAAATTATGGTTTAATTTGGTTATGATTCCACCCCCCCCCCCATTTTTTTATTTTTGGTAAATCATGTGTGTGTATATATATATATATATATATATATATATATATGAAGAAGTATTCAACCTATCCTTTAGGGGAGCTTTTAATGTTTAATAGACTATTGTATTTTAATATTCTGTTGGAAGCTGCCCAGGGTGGCTGGGGGAACCCAGCCAGATGGGTGGGGTATAAATAAATTATTATTATTATTATTATTATTATTATTATTATCCCTGATGTACTATTTTTATCTCCCACACTGCAAGGCAGTGCAGCAGTAATCATACATGTATATCTTGCAACAGCAGCCTACAGTGGTAGAGTCCAGGAAAATATCTACCAGTCATTTGTTTATTCATGATTTGGATATTTCATCTTTATGCCATGGCACCCACTGTAATTTACCGTTTTAAAATCTAAAATGAACCAGTTAAACATTGGACAACAGAGTTCTCCCAGACCAACTGATGGTCCCTTCAGAAGCTGATGGAACATGTTCTCTGGCCTTGTCTCCTCGCTCCACGCTGGCATGGGAGTTGCCCTAACAGCAACAGATTGTTGGTGGTCACCACTAGAGCTGATGGGATGTGCTCTCTGGGCCGGACTTCTCCTTCTGTGCTTTCACCCAGAGCACACAGGTCTTTCTTTAAGCAGCCCCAGAGAAGGCATAGGAGGGGTATTTGGTTTTTCAAAGTGCATAACTTGTGCTGAATCAAAATGGGCACAAACACATTCACCCTCTTGTAATATGCCCACTTTCATTGTCTGTAATTTCCCACATTCCCTTTGTGAAAGTATGTGAGAGAGTTTACAAAGCAGTGGGTGCCAAGGGAAATTGGTCCTCATTGCCAAGGCCACCAGGCCATGTCTCAGCCTGTAAACCACAGAATGGGGATGGGAATGCACAAATGGATTTGCACTTGAACTTGCATCCCTTTCAATATGATGCCCTGGAGATGGACAGGATCCACATCCAGGGGTGGAGCATGGAAAGACAGGAGATACTGACTTTAACACTCAAAGAGATGAGTCATATCTGCAAACATGCAGCAAAGATGTTCCAGGGAGCCATGAACAAATTATTTAGTGTGTCTACAGATATTTGTCTTCCCCTCAAGCCCACTACAGGACACAAAGACACCTGATGGGCACATTATGAATCCCACTTTTCTGTACCATGTGAACCACTTGATAAAACTACCCCCCCCCCCCCCCCCCAGTGCTATGGCAAAAGAAGAGTGCTTGCTAAATTTTTGAAATTTCTAATTGACAGCATAAGTGTGTGTGTTGTTTTTCTTTAAAAAAAAGAAAGATTCAGCAGAGGAGGCATCCTATTTTTATTTCCTTTTAATGACTTGTTTTGCATAGAACAAGTCCAGAAGTACGAAAACTATTTTATGCTATTTTGAATCATTCTACTTTTGCATTCTGTTTCTTTTGAGTTTGAAGTTTGGGGAAAATAACTTCTTTCTAAGATGTATGCTGAATGGAGAAATCAGTGGCTCACTAACATCCATATCTATTTAGACAAACATGCTTGAGTACATCTCAAGAATCAGATGTTCAGATAAATAAGAATGCCATTTGTATAGAGTGGGTATGATGGGAGTCTTTCTCAATCACTTAATGGCAAAAGATTAATAGTTTGAAAATGCCAACATTTCAGAAAGTGGGATTCAATTGTTTACTGTATAAGTACAGTAAATTGTTCTTGTTGTGTGTGTATGTGAATCTCTCTGTATACACCCACAGATATGTACAAACACAAGCAATATTGGTTAGTCTATAAATATGTGCTTGAAATTACCATTTTGTTGCCAGTGAACTTTAATTCAGGACCTGCTTTTCCCTCCCTCATCTCCTTTTCTTATCCACACAGTGTAAAACATAGAATAGTAACTCCTAGCTTGCAGGCTAGATCTAGCACTTGAGGCAATTTTATCTGGCCCCTAGGGGCCCTGTCAAATTTTCCACTCACAATAAATTTATTCACAATTTCCATCAAGGTATAGCAAAAGGTCTGCCTAAAGTTCTTCTCATAAGAAAGAGAAAAATGTGTTCAACTTGGGCCTATGTGCAAAGCTACACATGAGTATTTATGTTTCCTACCGAAGAAGCTCTTGGTGCAAGATGGCTTTGGTTTTCCTGTGGAGCCCATTCTTCTGCAAGAGGGTCAGGTGTGCAGTGAAATAGACAGAAGGACCCGTAAGAATAAAGGGCTTGTACCCAAAATGACATGGAACTTCGTGCAGGGCACCAATTTATAGAAGGTTTGCACCCTTAAATTAAATGTATGGATGCAAATTTAGACATATATACTACACACCTTACTACAGTGGGGAAAACAAGAGCCATACAGGTCACCTGCCCAGCTGCTCATTGCTGATGAGCAACTTCAAGGCTCCCGTTCTTCTTACCTTTAAATCTTACTTGGACTGAACAACCCTCAAAATAGAGGACCAAATTTGGACTGCCTTCCGGTAAAGTTAAGTAAAGGTAAAGGACCCCTGGATGGTCGAATTCGACTATGGGGTGTGGCGCTCATCTCCAGAGCTGGCGTTTGTCCGCAGACAGCTTTTCCAGGTCATGGGACCAGCATGACTAAACCACTTCTGGCTCCTGGTGACAGAAACCAGAGCGCACAGAAATGCCATTTACCTTCCCACCACAGCAGTACCTATTTATCTACTCACACAGGTATACTTTCAAACTGCTAGGTTGGCAGGAGCTGGGACAGAGCAATGGGAGTTCACCCTGTCATGCAGATTAAAACTGCCGACCTTATGATCAGCAAGCCCAAGAGACTTGGTGGTTTAGAGACTACAGCATCCCCCGTGCCACTGTTTTCTGCTAATTCTTTTGTAGCTGAGCAAAAAGAGTGTCCCCATATTCCTCACCCAATTTGCAGGGTACTGTCAGGGACTGACTGGACAAGGAGGAGTGCTGGGACGCACCAGCTGGGGAACCCCTCATAGAAGGAAGACTCAGAGCCCAAGGATTGGTGGTGGGACATCAAAGAGTGGTCAGAGGGAGAAGGTCAGAGGAGGTGCCTGATGCTGAAGGGGTAGCAGAGTTTAGTGAGCAGGAAGAGCTTGTGACATGGAGTGGTTCAGACTCTGAGGCTGAAGCAGAGGAGCGGGGTCAGGGGACTGCTGAAGAATTTCAGGAGTCTCCCTCTCCTACTTTGACAAGCTCCCCTCCCCTCTGGTTTTCAAGAACTCAGAGAGTAATGCAAAGAGCTGAACAGAAGCGAGAGGTGCGCAGACACCATTTAGGCTGCTTGGGAAATATCTGGGAGAGAAGGAGCCTTAGAGAGGGTGGAAGGCAGGGACCTTTAGTCTTGGCAACCATTTGATAGGGGGGCAAGACCTACTGGGAAGTGTTGCTGAGACCACTAGGCTGAGTTGTATGCTTGTTTCCTTGAATAAAGAGTTAACTTTACTGACAATGAAGTTCCTTTTTTGCTGACCTGTATTTGACTCCAGTCCTAACAGGGCCACAATTTCACTGAATATTCTCAGGGGGCAGGAGGGTGGGCTTTGGGGGTAGGGAGTAAGAGCACAATTTTTTTTTAAAAAAAAATCTCAAAAATTCTTTTCTGGGTCACTTTCATTCAGTTAATACTGAGTTGACCTGTATATCATGAGTTGGGTGATATATAATGATGGATGAAAGATGAAATGAGTTATGAGAGAAGACATGAAAAAGAGTAGGGGTCAAACCCATTCCTTCCTTCAACAATATTAATGTTCAGAAAGACTTGAAATTCCCTGCCTTATTTGCAGGTTGAGAAGCTGGGGAGCCATTTTGCCCAGTATACTCAATGAGGGACGAAGTTCTCCAATAGTTTTGGGGAAGCCTATAAAATATTACCTGATAATTCTTTCCTGAGTTTCCACCCCCCCCCCACCCTGCAGCTCTAAATTCTTTGTCATTCACACCAGAGAACACTACATTTTTACAGCATTATATGTTGCTTTTTTATCCAGCTTTCCTTCAAACAACTCAGGGTAGCATATGTGGTTTTTCCTTTCTCCTCATTTTATCTTTATAACAAATCTGTTAGGCTAACAGTGCATGACTGTCTCAAAGTCACCCAGTGAGATGATGAAGATGAAGAATTGATTTCTTACCACTCTTGACCATAGTACAATATTAAAATAGTTAAAACAGATTACAATCAGGAGAATACAATGGGTTCTCTCTCGTATTTATATTTATTTATACACATACACACACTGGGTGTTGAAGTCCAGGATATGGCTGCACATCT